CATGAGGCAGGGTCTGTGATTGAGGGCAAGCTGGAGGAGAATCCAGGAGAAGACTGGAGATGGCAGCCTAATCCCCCACCTTCCTGTGGATCCCTGCAGAACCAGAGAGGAATGTTTAACGTGACTTCCCAAACTCACAGCCAGCACTGCAACCCTAAATTGACAAAGAGGGTAGATTTCCCTGAAGTCTAAGAGAGGGAAGTGAATAGGGCCTGGAGGAAAGCAAGTTTGGGTTTGAGAGCAGTAAGCAAATTAGGAGCAAAGCAGTGCTTCGACCCATCCTGGTCCCATCTTCCCTCAATCAAGGGGCCCAAGAAGGGAGAACAATAAAGGTGGAAGATGCCAGGATGGCAGCTGCTGTCCAGGAGGTGAGTCTCAGACTAGAGAAAAGGCCTGGGTGGATCTCCTCTGAATTCAGGTTGTGAGGGTGGAGAGAGAAAGTGGAGACCATTCCAAAGGAATCTAGGAGCTTGGGAGTGGCATCTGCATCTTCGTGCTAGAGCCAGGGAGGTGGGGGGAAAGGAGGCAAGGAGGGAAATGGGCAGGGCCAGGGAGTCACAGAATCAGTCACTTTTCTTTCCTTCCCCACCAGTATCATCCTTTGTGAACCACTGGGAATTTCCTCTGAATGTGTGGAAGTCTCTCCCACACCACCCCCCAACTCCCACCCCTTCCTGTTTGTGGCCTCTCCATCCCCCAAATCCCTTTCTTTCCTAGATAGCTCAAGTCCTATGTCCTCTGTCCTCCACAAACCTCCTCTTCCATCCTGCCTGCAGCTTGTATCCTGAACCTGAAAGGGCCCCCCAAACTCTGTGCCCGCCCACCAGGGCCCCAAGTCTGGGCAAGAATCCAGACCCCATGGTGGTAAGGCTCTTTGTTCTCTTGCAGCCTCAACCCACTCCCTCCTCTTTTTTTTAAACTGGAATTTCTCCCATAAAAAGGGGGGGCAGGAGCTTCAGAGCTTCAAACTCCCCCCCCCCACTTTCTTTCTTTTTTTTCTGGAGAAAATAGAGGAAACAGAGGAAAGGGGGCATGGGGGCAGGGAAATGAAGGGAAATCAATTGATGCTTGATTTCCAGAGAAAGCGATCGGGGCACTGAATATGGGGCACACCAACCTCATTTCTCTCATTCCCTTCTCCCTAACCTGGTATTCTAGCTACACCCAGCCTGCAGTGTGCGGCAAGCTTGAGAGTTCCTGCTCCAAATACTGCTAACTTACCCCTCCGACTTGGTCTCTAACACAGCAGGCCAGGAATTTCACCCCTCACCTTGAGAAAGACACAGACATCTGCTTCCTCATTTTCCTGGTATTCTCCTGGCGATGTCTAAGTAGAGAGCAGGATGAGCATATAAACTGTGTATCCAGAGAAAGAAATAGACCAGCAGAGATCTTTATTTGCACAGAGAGGATTCGAGCCAGATATCTTCATGAATACATTTGGGCTTTATCCACAAGAACATGTGCTGAAACAGTGCACGGAGCCTGTCCACAACCCCATACCCACAGGCCAGGCATGTGCGCGGATGCAAGCGCACACACACACACACACACGCGCGCGCGCGCGCGCGCGCGCGTCCAGTAAGAAGGCACATCGAATAGCTTTTATATATTGGAGCCTCTGAAAACAAGAATTTCAGAGTTTAGGTTAACAGTGAACCCAGTCCATAGAGGACGCTGAGGGAAGAGAGGCTCCCGTGGCCTCACCATCACAAATGTCCCTCTGAAAAAAGAGGAGAGCGCAGCCCGGGGCTTCTGTACGGGGCTAGAGGAACTGTTTTCCATTTTCCTTTGATACGATGAAACGCTCCGTCCTTTTCTCCACACACCAATATCACAGTTAGACACCGAAGGGTCATATTCCTATTCATTCCTCTAGACTTCCTGTCAACCGCAGTCCAGCTCCATCATCCCTCCGCGAAGCCCCGGTAGGAGCGAGGTGTGGCCGTGTGGTGGGGGGCGAGTGAGTGCCCGGGCCGTGGATTTCAGTGCCTGGCTTTCTAGGGCGGGATCGCCTCATCGCCTCTGAGATGTAATTACGACGTTTCCAGTAGTGCATATTCTCCTGGAGTGTTTAATTTGCTTTTGCGTCTCAGTGAGATCCACATTTCCCCTCCCCCCGGGGGAGGAGGGAGAAGCTACCCCAGGCTTAAAGTCAGTTAACCAACAAGGCTTTACTTTGAGCCTCCCGCCCCAGGCTCTCTCCTCGAGGCCTCGCTCCCCACTCCCGGGGCGCCCCACTCTTGGAGGCGGCAGTTTCGGTACGGAAGTTCTTGGGGAACCGAGGGAAAAAGGGCGAGGGATCGTTCAGAGCCTGCGGACGCTTCTCCAGCGCTTTCAACGCCCTGAGACCTGAACTTTCCCCTGCTGCCTTCCCACTCTCTCTAGTCTCTTGGGGGCCTACATCTTCGGCTGGTCTTCCTTGAAGGAAGGGGACTTTTCCCTCTCTTTCCACTGGTCGCTAAATTTTGGCCGTACAGCGCCCCTAATAAATGGAATTGTAAATTTGCTGGGTTAATTAAATCTATATCTCATTGCAATAGGAATAGTTAATGCCCTTATATAAACCTGGAAAAGAACATACTATTAATTTTATTTATTGCTGGGCTGCTGGCACCCAGAGCCTTTCTGCTATTCTGCCCCTTATTCCCAAAGGCTGGAGGGACTCATCTTTGGGTTCTGGCAGGGTGAAGACGCGTTAGGCTAGACCATTCCCCAGACCCTGGAGGGAGTCCCAGGAATGGGGTGGCCATTTCAGGCCCTTTGTTTCTCCCGGCTGCCCCCCATAGCCCGGTCCACCTCACCCAGCGGTTCTTTGCGGGGCTCCGGACCCCGCACTTCAGAGGAGGTGAAGCCAGGGCCTCTGCACCACCCCAACACTTGCCTGTGGTAAACTGGTGGACTTCTCCACCCACCCACCCCCACCAGCCCGACAGCAGGCAGACTCGGGGGCCAAGGTCACAGGACCCAGTCTAGAGTAGCCAGGCCGTGTTTGCTCTCCTCCTTTTATCTTGACCTTGGGGACCCCTAGACAGAAAAGCCAGTTTCCTAGCCAAGAAATGACTCCCAGCAAGACCCACCTTCCCCTCCACCCATCTCTCTTCCCTCCACCCATCTCTCTTCCCTCCACCATCATTGCCCTCAACGAGCACTCAAGCTAGCCCGCTGATGTTTCCAAGATTCCTGATATATTTTTCTTCCTACTGTAGCTAGCCCAGCCTGAAGCCTTCTTTCTGGAATTCTGAGGTGGCAGGTCCGAATGAAGATCACACAGATAAGGATTACAGCTCTTACTCTAACTCACCCACTCCAGGGCACTCTCCATCGTCAAACACCACCTTGCCCCTGCAGGGAGAAGGGAGGCAGCTGGCCCGTGGGCCAGATCTCAGTACAGACCTGGCCACTTGCTCTCCTCGAGTTGGAGGGATCCAGTGGGTTAGGCTTAGCCGAATGATAGTGCCTCAGCAAGGCCTGTGTGCTGTCTGGACAGAAGCACCCAGCACTGAAAATGTTTAGTAGCGACAGGGAAAACGGAGATGCCGCAGCCCCTCTCCCCTTTTTTTCTGTTTATTACCATTTCTCCTCAGGGAGGCCCTGTGTTGAAAGGGAAGATGGCTCAATCCCACCGAGATGCTCTCTGGAAAGGGGTATCCAAACTGAGCACAGAAATTCGACAAGTCGGGAAATTGGGAGGAGAGAAAAGGGTGGCTTTTTTTTTTTTTAGAAAATTGTTAAATTGGTGTTTACTTTTTCTTGAAAGATTAGGTAATTTCAAAGCATTGAAACACTTCCCATTAAAAGGGAGTGACCCCAAGAATGCTCTGGGAGCTAAAGTTGGGGTTATCCGACTGGGAATTGCGTTGAGCCACTCTGCCTGGCCGCTCAGCTTATGGCCGAGGGCGGCGATGGATCCGCGGGGCTGGGGTCGGGCCTCCTGGGGTTTCCCAGAGTAGCGCCTGGGAAACGTTCCTCCAAAGGGGCAGCGCTGCCTACCCTGGCTCATGCCATGTTCCTTTTGTATATGGATCCGAGAGCGCGTGCTCTGGTTCGCATCCAGGGCTTTTCAGCTTTCCTAGACCGAATCCCTGCTCCTCCTCCCCCTTTCCTTTGAAAAATCTCACTCCGGGACTTTTAAACTCTACTGTGTATTGAAATGCCTCCATTTCTCTCTTTTATTCTCAAATCTCAAATTTTCATTGAGAGCATCCTGCCCTCGGTGTGATGATGTTTGTGTCTGGGAGTTATTACATTCTCCCAGTTCTCTGCTCCGCTGGAGGAAGACCTGCGGGCAACGAGACTAGAGAGGGTCCCCGTCAGGCAATTAGAGCTCTGGAGAAAGTGTCTGAAAGTCGGAAATGGAAACCCAATCCCGACATCAAAGTCTCGCTGCTGGGCGTCGGCGTCGGGTGCCAGCCGGAGTTCCCGGGTAGTTAGGCAAGGCCAGACCCGGGGCTCTCTACTCCTTGCCGGTGCGCTTCCGCTTGCTTTCTAGATTTTTTTATTTATTAAGAAAAAAAAAATACGGGGTCTCCTCCACCCTTAGCTCCAAGCCCCTATTCAGTCAGAGACCTTTGCGGGTTGGAATCAGTCTTCCCCGTACGAGCCTCCTCAGCCTAGGAGGAAGCGCCCAGGAACGGTCTGGTCTCTCCAAGACCCCTTTGAGTCGGCCAAATTCAGCCTCACCCTCCTTACTCTCCCTCCCCCGAGCCTGTCAGGGGGCGGTACCCTGTCCCTTTAAATCTCCCAGCTCCCTCCTCTTTGCCCCCCCAAGAGAGCCAATCAGCAGAGACATCTCCCCTTTCGCCCCGCCCCGCCTCTAGGGGTGGGAACCCCAGGAGACCAAGCCAGGAGGTCACGTGCACTGCCGGCGTCACGTGAGCGCGGGAGGGTGGCCGAGGGGAGGCTGGCTGGAGCCGGTGATTTCTTAATGAAGTGTACCCGCATGCGTAGAGGGAAGGTGGGGAGGGCGGTGGAAGCACCAGGAGGAGGAGGGGAGGGGTGGGGAGGGAAGGGAGGAGGGATGGGGGAGGGGAAAAGGGAGCGAGGTGTCTCCCTAGCTCGCAGCCTCTGGCAAGTGGAGTTTTTAAAAAGCTCGAGCAGATCATGTCATGACGACTTCGCTGCTCCTGCATCCGCGCTGGCCGGAGAGCCTTATGTACGTCTATGAGGACAGCGCGGCGGAGAGCGGCAGCGGCGGCGGCAGCGGCGGGGGAGGCGGCGGCGCGGGCGGAGCGGGGGGCGGCTGCAGCGGAGCGAGTCCCGGCAAAGCCCCGAGCATGGACGGGCTGGGCAACAGCTGTCCCGCCAGCCACTGCCGCGATCTGCTTCCGCACCCCGTGCTGGGCCGCCCGCCGGCTCCCCTGGGCGCCCCTCAGGGCGCCGTCTACACGGACATCCCGGCCCCGGAGGCGGCGCGCCAGTGCGCCCCGCCGCCGGCGCCCCCCACCTCGTCCAGCGCCACCCTGGGCTATGGCTACCCGTTCGGTGGCAGCTACTACGGCTGCCGCCTGTCGCACAACGTGAACCTGCAGCAAAAGCCTTGCGCCTATCACCCGGGCGATAAGTACCCCGAGCCGTCGGGCGCCCTTCCCGGTGACGACCTGTCCTCCAGGGCCAAGGAGTTCGCCTTCTATCCCAGCTTCGCCAGCTCCTACCAGGCGATGCCCGGCTACCTGGACGTGTCGGTGGTGCCTGGGATCAGCGGACACCCAGAGCCGCGTCACGACGCGCTCATACCCGTCGAAGGCTACCAGCACTGGGCTCTCTCCAACGGCTGGGACAGTCAGGTGTACTGCTCAAAGGAACAGTCGCCGTCCGCCCACCTCTGGAAGTCTCCCTTTCCAGGTAAGGAAGGGTCCCGAACGCAGCCGCCGCCAGGGACCCCTCCCAGCCCCGTCTGCCCCGGGGCTCCGCGCCCCAGCCACCCCCGCCATCTGGCCCCGGCGCGCCGGCTTTGCTGGGCTGCAGATGGAGCCGGCCGGGCGAGCTGCGCTGAGGAATGCGCTGGGGAAGAAATCTGCTCCGACACGTTCCCCGGAGCTGCCCGGCGGAGAGTGAAGCAATCACAGGCGCCCGAGCGCCGGGCCGCCGGCTCCGCTCCAGTCGGGAGCTCGCCTCCTCCCCCTCCGCAGGGCTCCAGTCTCACGCGCGGCTCTTGGCCCCCTAAATGCGCTTCCGGCCTGAAATGGGGGGTGAGGTGGGCCTTGGGTGCCTTGGAATCTAAACCCATTAGAACAAAAACGCTCAAGTCACCGAATCAATTGGAGGAAAAAATAAGAACCCGCAAGCATTTTCTTGGCCTGAATTTCCAAGAACATTTAGGCATTAGAAGGTATTTTGTTGCTGTTGCTGTTTTTAAAATACGGGTCTAATTTGCCGGGGTCTACAGAAATGTAGATTTTTCGTTTTTAAAATTTTTCTCTTTTTTTTTTTCTTGATTTGTTTTAAGAATTTGACCACTAATTTCCTGATTGCTGAAGGAGCAAGGGAACTGAAATCTCTGGAGAAAGTGTGGAAAAAAAGGGTGTTTGCATCCCTCTCCTGGGATATAAAATTCTTTGCCTGTCTGTAGGGCTCATATCCTGTGTGTGTATGCGCACTACCAACTCCGCCAAACGTCGGGTAGAGAGTTACTCATGCCTTAGACACAGGAAGAGAGGAGTGAGGATGAGGTTTCGGGGGAAGGCTTGTTTTGGAGGAATCTGAGGTTCAGGCCCAGGCTGGGAACCCCTCGGTATTGTCTGGCTATGTATTCGGTGGGGGATTGGAACTCACTGGTGGCGTGTTCCCTCTCCAATTGAGACTATCTCTGAATAGGAGAGGATCCCGCAACACCCGCCCCCCACTCCCCAGAGGAAAAGACCAGTTCCAGGGTTCTCAAAATCACATCAGGAGCTTTGGATTCAGCGCAGTGCTGAGAAATCAGGATTCAACGAATCCAGATCTTGAGGCTGCTCTAATTATATATAAGCAGAGCTCAGTGGGAGAGGGTTGACTGGCTCCATTCTGATGCTTGCAGGGGTCCTGGGGGCCCAGAACAGCCATATATGTTTCCTCCTACTACCCAGCAGGCCCCTTCCTGGCTCTCCCTGGGGACCAAGGGACATTTTCACTGGGACGTATAGACCTGAAGACCTCCTTAGGGTGGGCCTGAAATTCCTCTGCATCCGGGATTGGGGAAAGAGCAGACAGTTAAAAAAAAATACTGGATGATGTTACGAAGTATAGCAAATAATATTTTTGTAAATATTCTAAGATGACTTAGTATAATACAACTGATCAAGGTGGGACCCACACTAGACACCCAATTTCTGACTGCCAGAAGATTTAAGGATGATGTATGCATTACCTACTCTGCACTGACTATATTTTTATATAATATGATTTCTGTCATTAACGACCTAATATGAAACATATAATAACACTTTTCTAGAAGATAAGCACCTCACATGTAGGTGTACAATAATGTGTTGTGGAGATATGACCCTTTAATTTCCCATCTCACCCAGATGGGAAGCTCCTTGGGAGGTGGGGATTTAGCAGGAATTCCTGGAGCATGGGTAGCTGGTAGCCAACGGACCATGCTAAGGGGCTGAAGGGCAGAGGGGCTGATGCCCACCAGCCCCTCTGTGGGCAGAGCAATGGGCAGTTGGTTTAGTGTGAAGAGGGGATGAGAAGGAGCTGCTCTGGCATTGCTGTGTCTGCATGTGGAGTGAATGAGAGATTGGAAAGGAGCTCAGAAATATATCAGCAAAAATAAACATCTTAAAGATTCCCAGAAAAGAAAACCTGCTAAAAGTAAGCACTTTTTTATCACAGCCTCCTAGGGAAAAATATCTTTAACATAAAAAAATCATACAACCCAACTGAGATTTAACACAATTGAAAATTATGGCATGAAAACACGTATAAAACCAAATATGTCTCAACAGCTATGTGCTCACACACTCCCAGTGTGGAAATAGAAACAGGCTGGTGTATCTCAGTGCAGAGGTACAGGCAAAAGGCAGATGAATAAGAAATTATCTTCAGACATCCTCCATCTTTCTACCCACACAGAGCTCTTTTAGAAGTAGTGAGATTTCCAGATAACTCTGTCTATGCAATTGTGGTTTGTTCGGCAGCATCTCAGCATAAACACTACTGTCTCTCTTCAGTGCCTCTGGCTCTGAGAAACCTCATCCATGGCAGTCTGGGCTGGTGTGGGAGATGAAGGCAATTGTTCAGAAAGATCCAGATAATTAGGGCCAAGATGAGTTGTGGCTTCTTCCTTCACCCAATTATATAGACCCTTGCTTCATTGCTCTTTTTTTCCTTCCTATAGTGAGGGTAGACAATTTTTAATTTTGACAGAGATTCCAAGAGAGAAGGTGGGTGTGGTGGGGAGACAGGGAGAGACAGAGACAGATAGGATGAGGGGGAGAGAATAATAGAGAGATAGAAATAATGGGCTCTTTGGGTCATACTGAAAATCTCTGTTGATAAGCCATTGGATTTTGATTGAGAAGAGTAGCTAGGATTTCTAGCAGAACTAGGTCCTCTTCGGAGCCCAGAGCCTGTTGTGGGAGAGGGTGGGCAAGATCTAGTGGGTGGTAGAAACATGTACACAGGACCCCAAGAGAGAGCTGTGGCTAAGCAATGATCTGATTTTTTATTTGCTCCTCAAAAGTGTCTGTTGGGTTCCCAGGTATGAAGTGGGATGTGTGTGCATGTGTGCGTGTGTGTGCCTGCATGCCTGTGTATGCGCTGAAGGGAGACTATGGAAAGCTTGATTGTAAAATTAGTCACCAAGTCCTCTACTTACTTGAGGTAGCATAGACACAACTCAGGGCCTAAATTTCCAGATGTCTCCATATCTATAGATCCCACTTCCTTTCCAGACAAGACAAAAGACAATGAAAGGGGGCTTCTTTGAGAAGGCAAGGCTGAAGGTATTTCCCCAGCTGCCCAAAATAACTGGCAGTTTGGTCTGATCCAGGGAAAGCTTGGCCAGATCAACCCTTGGCATTCTATAGAGAAAAATAACCAATTTAGACCAGTTATCTGCTTTTCAAAAACTGATTCTTTTAGGGTTTGTTGATTCAGCCTCATGGGAAATTTATAGTTGGGGTTTAGGAGAGCCCAAATCATGTAGATAATTGTGAGCTTTTTCAGAAAGTGATGTTTAACAGATCAGGGACAATTATCTGGTTAACTCAGGAACACAAACGCACTTCTATCCCATTTGTTCTCCAGGGGAAAGGAGGTATTTTTAAAGCTAAATTGTACCAGGTGGTCTGTTTCCATTTTAGAACTCACTATGTCATTATGTTGAACCCAAAAATCTGGTTTTAAAACCCGGCTCTGCCACTTGAGCTTCTTTACCTATTCTGAGTCTCAGATTCCTTATCTTGTAAAATGGGTTTAATAAAATAAGCCTTAAAAAGATGTTCCAAGGATTGAAAAATAATAATAATAATCTCATATTATCATTACTTACTTTCTGTGTTTTACTCTTGTTCCAGATTCATCAGTTTCTCAAATCATAGTTATGTCTGTAAGAGCAAAACATATTTGAGAACTGAGAGATTTTTTTTTTAAAAAACATCTTGTGCAAAAAAAAAAAAGTCATTTTTAATGTAAAGGATCTGCTTTGCTAAAGTGAAGTTGTTTTGTTTTTCAGATTTTAAAAAAATTTAGCCTGTTCCTACATAGGCAGAGAAAAGTGACAGGTCCAACAATTTTCCATAGACATTGTCATCCTGGAGACAGTGTGACCAGGCCATTGGAATCCCCTCTCTCCCATATTCTTTCCATGTACTTTATTTCCCCCTGCCTGGGTGACCTCTTCTTTCCTGTCCTGTGTAGACAAAGGTCTCTGAAAGAGAGCAGACCCAATGAGAAAGGGGATAAGGAAGGTGATTCATGAAGGGGAGTTGAGAACAGGCATTGCAGAAAGAGCTCTGTGCCCTTATTCTAGACTGTGTCTGCACTTCCAAAGGGCAGTAAGAATGAAGAGGAAACCTTAAATATTCAGCCCTACTCATTAGATCCTGCAGGAAGAAGTCAGCCAATTACATTTTTTAAAGTTGAGGGGTGAGTTATTCAGCTTATCTCCCTAGTTCCTTAGTTTCCTTGAAAGTGTTGCTAGGACTTTTGTGTTGTTGGAGTGGAAGAGGGGCTGTAAGTGATGCACTTTAGTTCCTGTGACATTCTCATAGAGCAGAAAGAAATTGAACTAGTAGTGGTATGGCAAGGTATTTGGAGTTTAGGATTAGGGTTCCTGCATGGGTTGGAGAGTTTCCTTCAGCCTTGGCGGAAAGATGAGGATGGGGAACCAGATCAGAATTGCTGTGTCTTGGTGAGTGGAAATTTGAGGGAGGGCAAGGGAGGGGCACTGATTTCTTTTTGTAGAAGATTTATGTGAACCGCTGGTCTTAACCCAAGAGGGGCTCTCTTGGTGTGTCTCCTATGGTGGGCATACCCTGGGGTGTGGACCCTCTACTTCTAGGGACCGGATTTCTTACATCTCAGTGCTAGGGCTTCCCACCTGGGATGTTACTAAGTGGCTTACAATATTGGACTCCTTGAGAGATTGGCTCCCAGGCAGTCTAGCTTCACCTGGACACTTTTCTCTCTAGCTGTTGGTGCCGGCCTCAGATTCCCAGTGCAGAGCCAGTGACCAAAGGCAAGAGGCCCCACTTGATGGTCTGTGCCCACTGAAACAGTCTCCCTGCCCGCCAAGCTCTCCCTCATGCATACAAAAGGACACCTTCCTCTAATATTTGGGCAGAGTATAAACTGACCGATTCCCAAGTGATCTAACTGCTAGGAAAGAGGAATTTTCCTGAATAGTTGCAGTCCTGCAGGCTAGCAGACCAGGATGGAATTTGGAGGGACCCCTCTACGGGGACAAGGATTCTGATAAGGAATGCTGTGCAGAACCAGATTGGAGGCTGAGGCAAAAAGAAAAATCAGTAGTACTGGTCCTGCATTCATTTAAAGTTTTAATATTTTGTTCATCATGAAATTTTTGATAATCATATAAGTATAATATATAAAATATTATTTATCTTGATTTCTGAGCTTTTGGCACCCCCTCCTTTAAAGTTCGCACCAAAAAAAAAATAAAGCTCACGCCAGAGGCAATACCCCAGTGTCCTCACTTCAGCCGTGGCCTTGGTAATAGCAGAGATGCAAAGGATTTGGGGACAATATGCCCGCCTGTGAGTCCCTGCGCCTTGAGACTCTATAGCCGTTTGCTGGGTCCAGCGCGCAACTCACTTCCTGCTGCCTGCCTTCTTTCTCCCCCCAGACGTGGTCCCCCTACAGCCCGAGGTCAACAGCTACAGACGCGGGCGCAAGAAACGCGTGCCCTACACCAAGGTGCAGCTGAAGGAGCTAGAGAAGGAGTACGCGGCCAGCAAGTTCATCACCAAAGAGAAGCGCCGGCGCATTTCGGCTACCACAAACCTCTCGGAGCGCCAGGTCACCATCTGGTTCCAGAACCGTCGGGTCAAAGAGAAGAAGGTGGTCAGCAAATCGAAAACACCTCACCTTCACTCCACCTGACTGCCCACCGGCCCCGCCCCATCTATTTATGTCGCTGATTTGTACCATATATGAACTCACCAGAAGGACCCTTCTCCCGGGTGCAGACCAATATTTAATGTTAACCAGAAAGAGGAGCACAGGGAGGCAGAAAATATTAGATGGTGGGCTCTGCTGCCTTCTACTCCCCACCCCATCCTCAACCCCCACCCCTATGCAGATGGGACCTACCTGGCCTCAACAGCTTTGGAGGTGGGTTTGAGTGGGCTGTGGGAGAAAGGCAGCTGGCCTCCACTCCCTCTGGCCTTCACCCTTCTCCCCTTGCCAGAAAGCAGAGTGGCAGGGAAGATCATTCCAGACAAAGCCGAGTTGGGGAACCCTGAATGATCCCTTTCTTGCTTCATCCTTTGCCCCGGCAGGTAGACAGGCAACCCCACTGAGGGTGCCACCGGGGTGCAGGACCTGGGGAGCTCCTACTTTCCTTTCAGTCCCTCCTCCTGCTCCCAGCCCCTTGGCACTCCTTAGTCAGGCAGGATATCCCAGTTAAGAATTTCTGTGCATATTTTAAAAGTCTCATTAATATTAATCATAAGCATTAGGGATCTGGCATCGTGATTGGAGTACAGACAGCGCTTAGGTTTTCTTTTTTCCTGTCTGTTTCAACAAAAGCTGGAATTGGCTGAGGAGCCACCTATCCCCTCTCCCACTTCAAGCAAGGAACTGAGTTTCTCTGGAGCCACTGATGCCCCCATAGCCTCCTCTGTTCTGCTTCTGGGTCCCATCTGAAAATCCAGGGAAGACAGAAACTCCCGCCACGCTGCTAAATATGTCTTCTCTATCTCTCTGTCTCTCTATGGTGAGGCTGAGATTAGGCCAGGCACAGGAGCAGAATTTTTTTTGTAAGGAAAGGACAAACTTCTCTTCCAAGGGGATGGAGAGTGGGTCCCCCAGCAGAATCCCTCTCCAGTCCCTCTCCAATCACTTCTCCATCAAGGCAATAGCTCAGAAGGCCTCACACTTTCACTTTTACTCATTGTCCAGAAGAAAGCCGTTTTCTTCCAGGAGGCCAAAATAATCGCAATTAGCCAGCTAATGTAGACAGGACTGACATTTCCCTCCTCAAAGGCCAGCTCGGTGCTGGGGAGGTGTGGGGGCTCACCTTCTCCTTTCCCACTGGCGAATTACAAAACAGTGTTCTTTTGAAATGTTCATCAGAAATAGGTTTTTTTTTTTAAATGTTGTGTATCTGTATATAGTATTGTGGTGTCTAAACGACAATGTACTGAATGCAAAAAGAAAAAAGAACCCACAAACCCGTTTTTAAAATAAAATCTTTTTTTTTTTTTGCCTTAATTTTATTGCTTGGATTACTTCTGAAACTCCTATCCACTGGCTCTTTGGGGGAGGCTCTGTTGCCCTGATGCAGCCAGAGTTGGCCAGGGCAAGAGTACTGACATCACACCGGGCTAGGTATATCCCAAACTCATATTTTGCTTTACTAAAGTTTTTAAAGTTAGTCATTCAGATTGTTGATAGTGTCTAGACAGGAGAGAACTCTTTACCATCCTGATGCCCCAAACAAATGAGTAGGTTCCAGAGAGAAGGATGTGATCAGTGACTTAAAAGGCCTGGCAGCAGGTGAGTGAGTTCACTTCAGTTAATAGTCAGGGCTCAGATCTGGATCCTGGATCCCGGGGCTGAGAAAATAGCCATCCCATCTGGGAGCTGGATGCTTCAGTGGTGGTGGCAGCAATTGGGCTCTAATCTTAGGTTTTTGAGGCCCTAGTGCCCCAGTGTCCCAAATCCTTCCCAACAGTTCAGAGCTGGAACTAGGAAGTGGTCCCCTTAGCCAACACTGGTGGGGGGCGGCTGCAAGCTCAGCATTCCCAAGCTGCTCTCTTTTCTTCCCCACTGATCTGTGATCTGCGCAAGAGGTCAGGCCCCAAGGACGCTGTGGGCCCCAAGTTTGCTAAGCCAACCTTGCTTCTATTCTCCAGCTTTCTTGGGAACCTCAGTCTTCCAGGCAATCAGGAGCTGTGTAGACTCTGCCACTAATTTGTTTTCACTGTCCTGTCCATCTGCGCCTATCTTCCTATCCGGCTGAGTTAATGAGATCATTAAGTTGTCAGGTTAAGAGATTTTAAAAAAGCAATATAGCCTAAAACAATGTTATCTCAGATTAAATCTTTACTGCAACAACTTTTATGATATGATATTTTTCCTCTCCTGAGATATAGAAAGACTGGAGGCATTGGATTGGAATTCAGAGTGCTCCAATTTCTCTTTGCCTGATGGCTGAAGGTCTTCAAGTTTTATTTAAATGTTTGCTGGGGGTTGTGATACACACACGTGCACACACAACACACACACTGAATCTGAGAGACTAAGAGACTAAGAATTCACCCTCTGTGGAGCCTCTGCTACTGATGTGGCTGCCGATCCTGTTCTCTCCATCTCAAACCTGGATTAACTAACCAAAGAATCCCAGGCTGAGCAGTACAGATTAGGAGTTGCAAATAGATGAATCTCCTAGGAATAAGGTTCATTCTTAATTCCATCTCCCCTTTCTCTCCCCACTCACCACTCTAACCTCTCTCCAAAACCCCTCAGTCTTCCCTGAGATGTAAAGAACACACTAAATGTGTGTGTTTCATCAGAAAAAGGAAGTGAGTAGACAAGAGACCTCGGGGCTTCCTTAATGGACTCACACCACTCTTGACCTGGGAGTGCACTGGGAAGTCCCATGACACAGCTGTAGACACAGTGGAGACTTGGAGGCTCAGTAGGGAAAGAGAATTCTAAAGTTCTCCGAGGCAGCCTTCCACTTCTGCGCACAAACCCACATGAAGTCAACTGAACGAGGCTTCCCACACGGAGGGACCTGCCCTAAGGCCCCAGAAGGGGGCGATGGAAAAGAGAGGGAAAGCTGGTGCAGGCTCACTGGGACACCAGTGACCCAGGCAGGCACTGTGGTACTTCTGAGTCCCCATGAGCCCCAGTATGCCAGGGTGTTTAAGATGCCACCCATTCACTGGATCAACTAAGCCTTGGAGCAGTTTGGGGATGCCTCTCCCATAAAAGTAAGCAGGTCTGAGAATGGAAACTCCTGTGTGAGACAGGTATTGTGTGAGTGTGTATTCTGGGGAGACACATTCCCCAGAGTTGGGAAAAAAAAGTATTTGTTCCCTGATTGTGTTGGTTCCTTACCTGTCCTTCCTCCAAGAGTTGGTATTCTCACTGGGGAACTCTGTGAGATCTTCCTATGAAAGGATGTGTGTGTGTGCACGCACACACACGCATGCACATGCCTGTGTGTGTGCCTGTGTGCATCTTTGTGTGTGTGTGTATGCAGCCTCTGATTAGTGCAGAATTTCCCCAGCTTTTACTGCCTCTCTGTGTGCATGCGTAGCAATGCTGTCAGCCAGCACTCATCTCAAGGTGTAGAGTGTGTGTTTTCTTCATTCAGATTTATAAAAGCTTTTCTTTCCAAGGCCAGTCTCCCAGTGTCTGTGTGAGAGTGAGAATGCAATAAATATGAAGGTGTAAGGGGACAGAAAAGTCTAAAGGACTGTGAGCATTGCAGTTTCCTCTTCTCTGGGCTGAGGTTCCTGCTATCTTTCTCACAACCCAGTGGCATCACCTGCTCCCTGTGACTCTGTGGCCAGGGCTGGGGGACCTGGGAGAGCCAGAGCCTCACAGGACTCTCGTTCATTCTGGAGGCCACTCTACCAGGCTGCCAGGGAGGATTCAGTTAGAACTTTTCCTGATTTGGGGGAGAAAACCCCTTCCCCACCCACATCTTAGTCTTCAGATCTAGGGCCAGCACAACCGGCCTTTTGGCCAGTAGTCAGTCTCGCAGCCAGGAACCCACCTGAGGATGCAAGGCCAGCAGTCCTTGGGAGACTCCTCCATGACTGTCTCCAGACCAGGTGTTTTTCCACAGGCGGCTGGTCAGCAGGACTGTGTGGGTGTAGGTGAGGGCAGCCCCTGGGACACTCTCCATCTCTCCGAGGATTGAAGCTGGGAACCCTGTAGCAGCCCCCTCTGTTCTGTTTTGAAGAGACCCCCCACACTAAGATCTACTTGAGTCTGACTTGGATGGTGTCAGAAGCCCGGTCCTCAAAGAACTCCAAGCCCTGGATCAGGCAGATGTGTATCCAGACCTGCGCTAGTGGAAGATGGAGGGGCCCTGGGGAGCCGGGGGCTTCTGGGAGGAGGAGGAGGGGGCCATAGCCTTTTCGCAACCAACCAGGCTCTTCTTCTTTTAGCCTTGACCGTGACTAGGTCTTTCTGACCTTGACATCGCAGGGAGCACTGGGAAGGGGGGGAGGGTGGAAAAGGCCTTGATCTTCCTGTGGCCAGAGGAGGAGAGGGCCGCTTGCCCCCTCGACGCTCCATCCCCCTTCCCGCCAGAGCCCGCCGCCTCTGTTTACACACAGAGGTGTCGTCTGCAGTCTAGACAGGGGCACTAATAACACCCATAAAAGGCGGCCTCTCCAGAGACGCTCTGCAACTCGGCTCCCGCGCGCCTACCGCTGGCCGAAGCCTCCGCCTCCTCCGCCCCGCCCTCCTCAGATACCTCGTCTGGGCTTGAGGGCCGCCTTGGGGAGGGGTATCCAGAGCTTTCCTGGAGGCTGAGATCCCCTGTCCCGCACCCTTCTGAACCTCTTCAGTCTCCAAAGGTAAGTGGACCCCCGTTCCCGTTCTTCCAACCCAGCCAGCCTCGGGGTTAGCAGCGCATCCTCCTACCCCCACTGGCCTCTCAGGCCGGTTGCCCCCACGCAATCCGCCTGTGCCCAGCACCATCTCCGCCCCCGCCTGGAACTGGAGGCTTGGTTTGGGAAGCATTTGGGTAACTGGGCAGAGCAGACCCCAAGCAGATCTCTGCCCTTCCCCTGAACAGGGCTGGCCAGAGGCCATGGTCAGAGGGAGCAGCTGGTTGTGTGACAGAGGGCACTCTAGGTAGTCCTCACCCCATGCTGAGCTTCGGGGTCCACGGAGACCCTGGCCCTGGGCTCCCCTTACGTCGCCGGCGGCTGCAGGTGTGGTGTTGAGAGGGTGCTTTTTTTTTTTAAACTTGGTCCACACACCTTTCCTGACACTCAGTAATTCACTAGGCGGAGGAGATCCTCTGCTGGTGGAGGGAGAAAATGTCAGAGCCACGAAACTAGTTAACTATTCGATCGCTGAAAGGACAGTGAAAATGAGGGAAGAAGGTTCAGGCAAGGAGTGGAGAGATGGTCTCCCAGATGTTCCCCCCGGGACCCCTCCCCACCCCTTCCCCATTTCCTGGGTGGCAATCAGGCTGGGATCTTGTGGTGGGAGGGGGGCCCTGGGGAGCCACAGAAGACTTGGAGGAGGTAAGGGCGCTGCTGACCTTGGGCCGTTTGTGTGAGCCTGAAAGCCTGAATGGGCCCCCTCATCCAAGGTTCCTCTCACACCCTGCTCCTCCAGGGTGCAGAGCCCTGGAAGACAGCACAGGGGAAGGGACCTTCCAGTCTTCTCCTTGAGTCGTATAAGGGGACCTGGGAGACAGGGGGCTCTGACGCTGGCTGAGCTAGTGAAGCAGAAGAAAGCGGAGTCTGAGCCCCTTACCTCCACCCACCAGTCTTGTCTGAACCCGACAGTATCTTGCCCCAAGCCCAAGATGCCCCACAAGGACGACCTAAAGAGAGCTGAGGGGTCGGGCTGGAGTGTAGACTTTCCCCACCCGCCGCTTCTCATTTCCCCTCTCTGGGCCAGCCCAGCTCCTGCTTACCTCCCTTCGGGAGCCAAGGCCCTGCCTCATTTGCATACGCGGCAGAACCGCTTTGTGCAAACTAGGCAGTGACCTTGAACTGGGCCGCCTTGGCCTCGACTGACTAGGGAGAAGGCAGCACCGCACGGAATAATCCCGACCTCGGCAGGGGAGCCGGACCACGGCAGGCAGCTCACAGTCACTCCGCGGTGGCCTAAGCTACCCGCAGCCGTTCTGCCTCTGCCACCAGAGCTGTCAGAGATTTTGTAATAACTCCTTTCGCCCGGTTCGGCGGTGGCGGGGACTCGAGGAACCGCGCAGAGCCGGCGAAGATGCCGGAGGAACAGAGGCTTAGACAGAGCCAGGTCGGGAGAAGCCGCTGGGCATCCCGCTGGTGGATGCGAGGAAGCACAGGGCTGCTGGGGGTCTTCAAGGAAGTCCTTGGACCACATCCTGGTCTTCAGTTTTAATTAACCCCTGAGTTAATGAAGGGTGGGGGGATGGTTGAGCCAGGCCAGCTGCAGCAGGAACCTGTGGTCCAGCTGCCAACAGGCAGCCCACCTCTTCTTGTGATTTTATGAATGTGTGCTAGAGTGGGCGCACAAATCGCTCCGCG